TCTGAATATAAGCACAGTTAATAAAAGGAGGAAATGCAAATGCTCATTTTCTATAAATGGGAAGGCTAGAAAGCCTGTAGTTTCTGGATACAGATGGGATGATATTCCTTCTCAAGTTTATCCTGTTATTTCTTTAGGTTGTAGTAGTGAATTGCGTATAGAACCTGTATCAACACGTATATAAAAAAATTCAGCTTTTAATGCAACATTTTTAGATCAACTAATAATGTTTAGAAAGAATAAAAAGCTAATAAATAATAATTTGTTCACGTGAGCCAATAAAAGAATTAAATTTACTTCAGTATTATAAGTAAAACTTTACCTTGTAAATAATTTTCCCCATTAAAAAAATTCTAGTAAAATAGAAAAAAAAAATTTTAAAATCTTTGGCAATTTAAATCATGTGATATCTTCTCTATATACTAAAATTAATTCAGTAATTATATAGAGGTGTAATTTATAAATATTTAGTATAAAGACTAGTAGTATTAATTATATAATATAATTATTTAAAGATTTAACAATATCAAAATATCAAAACTTTTATAATTAATTTATTACAATCCATTTATAATATAATAAGAATAGGTTTACTTTTATTTATAATTTTAATATTATATTTCTAAAATAAATATTAAAAAGATTTTTTTTAATCAAAAATCATTTATATATCCTATTATTTTAAACTTTTTAAATTAGTCATATTTTTCTATATACATCTTTTTTTAATATATATACTATATATTTTCTTTTATATATATAATTTTATTTAGTTTTAAACATATAAAATCAAAAGAGAATTTTTTTTATATACACATTTTTTAAATTTTTACTAATATTCAAAAGATTAATAATTTAGCTTTCTAAACATATAATTAATATATTATTAATATTAAAACTTTTATTAATTTAATTAATTTATTTTAAAATTTTTGATTAAAATAAAAATTATTTAATAATTGTTTAATGTAAAGAATTTATCTAACTTTAAATTTTTTATTTTTTAACAAGTATTTTAATAAATATCAATACAAAGAAATATTAATAAAGAATTACTACTCTTTTCAAGTTTTTTGTCTAAAAACTAAAGATTTTAATAAGAAAAATTATAAAAGAAAATAAAATATTTCATTTTATTTAAAAAATAATTTTCAGTTTTAAAGAAGTAAAAAATATTTTAATTTTAAAATATTTTTATTCATTTAAAAAAAAATGATTTTCAAAAATTAATGTATATATAATAAAATTAAATTTATATTATAAATTTTATATAAATATTAAATAAATAAATATAAAACATAATAAAATAAATTTTTTTTTATAAAAAAATTTTAATATAAATTATTTATTTGAATTGAATTATTTAAAGATGTATACAGAATTTCAATCCTATGAGATAAAAAAAAATTAAGAAAGATACTAAACTGTCAGCATCTTTTTAATCTTTTCTTTTATCTCGTAAGATTAAAATTCTATATGCATAATTAAATTTTGATTTAGATTTTAACTTTTTACCATTCAAATAAGTTATTTTTATTATATATAAATGAAAAAATATTATAATTTTATTTTATAATATTTATATTTAATATAATAAATATTTTATTTAAATTTTTATAACTATAATTAATAGTTAATATCATTAGTATCATAAATTTTCTTTTTTTAGAAATTAATGTACTCTAATTTGATTTTGTTAAAAATCAAAATTTTTTTTTTTGAATTTGTGTATTATTACTTAATTTTCTCAAAAAGGTATTTTAATTAAAATTAAAAATATAATAATTATAGTTTTACACTCAAAAAATTTAAGTTTTAAGAATATATAGTAAAAATAAAATGTAAAACCATGACAATTTATTTATATAAAAAAAAATCATATAATATCAGTAATAATTATCATCAATTATTTTAAGTAAATACCTTTTTATTATTATATAATATATTTAAAGTAATTTTATTATTTAAATTATAATATTATAGTTACAGAGCAAAATTCTAAATCTATTTTGACAAAAATCAAAACTTTTCAAAAATTGTTTTAACAGTTTCAATGAGTTTTGATGAATTTTGAGGATTTTGATAGATTTTGATAGGTTTTGAGGGTTTTGATAAATTTTGATAGGTCTTAAAAGTTTCGATGGGTTTAATAATAACTTTACGAATTCTTAAAAAGGACATAAATATATAATTATATAATGATAGCTAGCATTAAATAAACAAAATTATGAAAATAATCGATAATCAGATATATATGTTTATTTTTATCTGCTTAAAAGAAAATAAAATTTAAAATATGAACACGAGCAGCTTATTTCCTAGATCATAAGCATACAATTACTTTTTTTCTTAATTTATTCATTTAGAATTCTCAACAAATAGAATATGTTTCTTAAAGATAAAATATAATGGTTCAGTTTCTTTTAGGTGAAAATCATCGTCAATTTTGAATGAAAACCTATAAAAAAGAACTTTTATATTTGGAAGCATATAAGCTTTAACATATTCTTAAACACTTTATAAACATTTTTACGTGTATACTTATTATCTTAATGAACTTATTTAGTTTAAAAAAATTCAAAATTTTATATGTTAAATATTAAAAAATAATTACTTGCAATTCATAAAAAGATAATTATCTACTAATATTTAGAATTCATTTCTTAGAAATCCCATTAGAAATATATTTTATAATACTTTTATATATATTAACAGATCACCTGTTGGTCTTTGTCATATATACAGTGATCAAAATTTTTTTATTTTTTTTTAAAAAACTATTTTTTTTTATTAATCATTAGGTTCTCTTTCAACTTGGATTATTTCATAAATAAGTGATAAAAATTTTTTTAATATCAGATTACTACGATATAATATTTTATTATTTCTCCACTCCATATTAATTGTTTTTATTTTTTATTATATCGCATAAGTTAGGTTTTTCAGTTTTTTTCTTTGATAATTCTACTATAATTTTATAATTTTTCTTAAATCCAATTATAGTAAAAAAGAAATTTTATTATAAAATAATGGTGATATAATTATGACTCAATCCTTCTATTTCTGCACTTATGCGTTACATTAAAATAAATTATTCAATTTTTTTGAATAGTAATATTATTCTTACCAAGACTAGTCAATAATTAAATCCAATTCATAAAACAAATAAATTTTTAAATTAAAAATTGTATTTTTAATAAGATGAGTATTTGTTATTTGTCGAAACTTTGCTCTGTTGAAACTTTTATTACCTGTTGAAACTTTTGCAATTTTGCCTTTAATAAAAAAATTTGGCAAAATATTTCAATGGGTTTTGATTTCGATGCCTGTCGAAACCTCCAGATTTTTCCTGGCAATCTTATATAATATGTATTATATTAATTAGATAAAAAATTAAATAAATATATATATAATATTAATATAATTATAAAGTTTTAAAAATATAATAATACAAATAAATAACTTTTTGGAATTTTATTTTATTAATTTATAGAGTTCAAAAAAATCATATTATTAATATATAAAATAGTATTAAAAAATAATTTGCAAGAATTAATTTAAATAATTAAATAAAAATAGTATTATATAAAAATTAATTATTCCTTTTAACTTAGATGTTAAGATAACAAAATAAACTCAATGATAATAGATATATTTAAATTAGCTTTAAATAATCAATTAATTATTTTTATATTTTATATATTTTATATTATTAAAAAAAATTAAATTTTTATAATAATTTTTCTAAATTATAAAAAAAAAAAATTTTAATTTAATTTAATAAAAAAATAATATTTTAATTTATAAAGTAAAAAATATTTTTTAGTAATTTTTTTCTTTTCTACTACAAAGCATTTATATATTAAAAAAATTAAAGTTTTATTAATCATATTTTTATAAATAAAAAATAATTTCAACTTTAAAATTAATATTTATTTTCTATATTATTATTTATCATAGTTATATTTATTTCCTGTGATATATTAAATATGTCTTTATTATTGTGTATTTTATATAAATATCCTGTATCGTCATCTTGGTAAAAAGAATAAAATATAATCTCAACTCAACAATTATAAATCTTGTATTTCCTTTTACCCATATTTCTTAACAAAATAAAATCAATAAAGACGAACCGACCCTTCAATTTAACTAACTCGTGTATTTTTTTTTAATAGTTTAATAAATTTAAACTCCCTGTTAGCAGGTTAACAACGCTTAGTTCCGCTATCATGTTGAGCAACAAGATACAAAAAACATTTTAATTTGTTTCTTCGATTATTATTATAATAAAGTATAGATTATATGACTCTTTTTTTAAGTGATTCAAGGGTTTTTATTTCTAAGTAAAAATTTTTATGCGATTATCATTTCTTTAAAATCATAGTTTAACGCTGATGACAGTATTTTGAGTGTGTTACTAACAATAGATAAATGAGTCAAACAATTTTACCATAAAAAATATCATTTATTGTCGATAGTTGGAGTTGATTTTGACATGACCCGTTAAAAAGATTGTGTGTGGCATAGTAAATTTTATAATCGTGAAAATAAAATAAGATTAATTAAGATTATTATAAATTAATCTTTTTCAAACTCATATACTGTAATTAATAAGTTTTATTCACTTCCTAAAAAAACTTTTTTCATTCTAACTGATTTTTCTCTAAATAGTGCTCGTTACCCCCCAAAAATCTATTTACTATAATAATAATAAAAAAAAAATTTTTAAGATAGAAAGCTTTAAGCAAGTAATACATACTGAGATATAAAAAATTAATTGACCTAACCGTATCCAAAAGTAGTTTAACTATTGATATTGCAATTGAAAAATTTACCTGCCCTGTTACAAATATGGAATCTTAATTTCAGACACTCAGACGAAAATCAATTTCAGTCACAACAATACAACGAACTGTAGAAAGTTTTATTTTTATTTTTATTTTTACAAAAAAGATATATTATACAAATAAGTATATTTTGTTCACTTTTAAACCAACTTTGATACTTGAATTTTAACATATTGTCGAAGCATCCGCCTTTAGTCAAATGGGGGGCGGTCAGTAAAAAAGGGGGAAATCCACTTTTTAATCAAAAATTTTTTTATTGGTTCACTCTGTTGATTATA